ATGGGTAATGATAAACATTACCCTAGAAAAGATACTGGTTAATGAAAAAAATCACTATATATATATATCCCTACCAATGTTCATATCATTTATTGGGAATTAAGTGAATATCATATAGGGATATGTTTGGGTAATTAATGTATAGATATCTGGTTGATGATATCTATGTTGCTTTTCTTTCAAATGTTTTTGCCAGAAATGTCATATAGTGCTACAAGGAGATTTCCGGACAACAGTAGCATAGGGGCTTTGTGATGTCATGTGTTTTTCAGCCATAAAGAGAGAAGATATCATCTGCTGTACTTTTTGAAAGTACAACAAACAAATAAGCCTGGTACCCTCTGGTAAACTAACATAGCTATTGAAAATGGCAACTTATGGTGAGTGTTCCTATTAAAAATGGTGGTTTTCCATAGCTATGTTAGTTTACCAGAGGGTATCCAGCCGATTAGCCACAGATTGGTGCTCCGCGAACTGATTGGTAACCGCAAAGGGGCTCCAAAAAAATCTGTGTGTCCCAGGGTAAAAGTATGATCTTGTCGGACGGTTTTGTTATGGAAAACTATGGGCCAGATCACCTTACCCGGCCTGGTAAACATACAAAAGCTATTGTTTAAATGGCCCAGTCGAAATAGTGGATTTACCCATTGAAATTGAGAGGGTATATAATTCACCACAAATCATCAATGGGCCATCTATACCATAGCTATGTTATACAACCAGGGTGTATATTATTTGGTGCATGACAACGGTTGGCTTAAAAAGTACGAGTCCTACGGATGGTGGAAATTGGTGGAATCTCCGACGCGTCTCAAAAAACGCTCCTTGTGGGCTACCTGAATCTTCCGGGGCTAGGTAATTTTAACGCCTAGGGAGTGTTTTTTGTGCGGCACTGGCCGGACATTTCACATACTAAAGGTTGTTTATGATTATGATGATGATGATGATGATGGTGATGCAGAATGACTATCGTTTGTTATATATCATATAGTACCATTGTTATCTCGATGGTTGAAACCACCGACCTATTTGACCGATTGTTGAGAGATCCACTTGTATGTCACACGAGTCGCTTACCGCTGAAGCATGACTGCCTTCGCAGTTGAGATGTGATCCCGAATGGTTCGAATGGTGACGTTCTTTTGTTTTTTCTGCTGATATCAAGCGTTGCAATATCTACGATATTTGGTGCTTATCTCCCTGTGATTATCATTTTTTTTGTAGTTTCAAACCTGCAAGATAGTGCCCACCAGTCATAATAAGTTGCTTTATAACACCTTTTAGCAGTAATTAGATATATCCACCATGAACCTTACTTATTGTAGGTATCAACCACATTGGCTAGATATCCATTCTTCATGGATTAAATCCCCTCTGGCAAGCTGGGAAAATCCACATTTTTGCTGGTTAACATGACCATGAAAGGCAATATTTTATCATAAGATCCCCAATGGTTGATGATAAAATCATTATGGCTAGTCCCACCAACTTGATTTTCAACAAAAACCATGAGTATGTGACCTTTCGAGAACATCCCCAAATCAGCTAACTATCAACCATTATCAATCCTCATGTTTCTTTATTACATCTTATTACATCCCACTTTCCTGTTAGTTAACACCCATGGCAGCCCATTTTCATCCCATTAAATCACACCAAACCATACCAAAGATCCCATGACATCCCCACGAAATCCCAAATCCCCATGACATAATCCAGTATATCATCATTAAACCCCATTTTAAATCCTATCAAATCACCATTAGATCAACATTAAATCCACATTGATCAAAAAAAACCTTAAATCAGATTGGTATATGAATATGATCATTATGAAAATCACCATTAAATCAACCAACAATAAACCATTGACATCATTTTCATATTAATCCATACATCTGGGTAAATTTCATCACGACCAAACCCTATTCTCCCGAACACTGGAATCATGGTTTTTATATGGGAAATCATCCCCAGCCATGGCCGAACTATTCAGGTTAGTGAAATATGATTCAATTTACCTGCATCTGGTACAGATACCATTATAGTATATATATTTCACTAACCAGATATACCACTATAATAATATGCTGGATGGTGGTTTGGAACATTTTTTATTTTCCCATATATTGGGAATAATCATCCCAACTGACTAATATTTTTCAGAGGGGTTGAAGCCACCAACCAGTATGGATTGAGGCCCCAAATTTACTCAGATTAATCCATACATATACCATTGATCTGGTTGGTTCAATCTACCCTTGGTCGCCTGAAGGTCGATGTCTCTGAGTTGTCTCCCTGCGCGATGGAAGAGGCCTCCATTTTTTGTTGGGCAAAAAACGCAGGGAGGTCACGGGGCAAAATTGGGACTTACCTGAGTTTACTATATGATTTACCCTCTGGTTATTTAACATAGCCATGGTATAGATGGCCCATAGAAATAGATGATTTCCCCAGCTAGAAACCTCCATTTATGAGGGATTTTTCATGGCCATGTTAAATAACCAGATGGTAAATGGATTTATGATGATTTGATGGGATCTAATGGTCATTTAATCGGATTTGTTTTTTTCCTTCTCTGAATTTAAGCATCAACAGGAGGGAATTACCGTGATGTCACCAGCCAACATATGCCTTATTTTGGAGTAAAACTAATTTAATCATGAAACAAGGGATTTAATAGGATTTGATGAGTGAGCCAAAAAACATGGAGGTATAAAATCAACCATGTTATGTGGATATGCGATGGAATTTGATATAATGAGATATAAGCAACAACATGAAATATGGGTTTGTCTTCATAATGGGGTATACCATGATATACCGAAATTCATGGCAATGGGGGCTAGCCAATTTTCAGACAAGCCGGTTGACGACACCGCAGTTCAACAACCCAGGGTTGACCGTATCTCAGTTGGTATATGGTGAAGATTACCATGATTAGATGATTAGTTCAGTTATAAATGGGATGTTTGCCACAGTTATACATAGGTTGTTGCCCACCTTCAAGTTAACCCCTTTATTGATATTGTGATTCTCAGTCATAGAGATTAATTAATCTGGTTGGTGGTTTCAAACATGGCTTTTATTTTCCATAATATATGGGATAATCCTTCCCATTGACTAATATTTTTCAAGATGGTTGAAACCATCAACCAGTTAATGATTATATATTGTGATTCTCAGCCATATAGATTAATGATTAAACGGACTATTGTCCATTTAGGATTACCGGGATGAACATTCATAGCTTCAACTGGCGACATCCATCACGGTTCCCGGATCAATTGTGCGTTGTACCCTTTCTCTCAAACATTCACTCGCCATTCTCGCTTATCTTAACATATCTTAACAATTTTGGTAGACATGTACTACATTTTGTTGATTTTTCATCATATTATTCCCAGTGTTGGTTTAAGAGGAAAACTAATTGTTGGTTCGGTCCTCATTTTGGTTGTTGTATCTCAAACGTTTGGTTGGTTATAGACCATACCTTTGTTGGTTACTGCATGTAATGTATTGTAATGTTATATTATGCCATAGTCATATTGTATTTATAATATATATATATACACATATATATACACATATATATACATATATATATATATATATGATGTAATTGTTGTAAACATGTGTTGGTTATAAATATTTGTCAGCTATATAAAGGCTATATAGGCGTATATACATATATATATATATATTATATATATTATATATATATATGTATACAAGGAAATACGTGCTCAAATACAAACGTTTCTCTTATACATTAAAGGTGCCTCCCGTGCCACTGCAGGCTGAGAAGGAGATTCATCGCGTGGCCAATGACATCCGACAGAAATTGGCGGATCAACTCAGCGTTCGAGAGCCCGGGGCAGCCGGGGCAGCCGGGGCACATGGGAAACCGTTGGAATCACCACTTGCTACGAAGAATCACCACTGATTGGTGGTTTGGAACATGAATTTTATTTTCCCCAATAGTTGGGATGATGATCCAATCTGACTTTCATATTTTTCAGAGGGGTTGACACCACCAACCAGACCATGTTTCACAGGTAAATCATCAATCGGCCATTTTGCATATAGCTATGTTAGATTACCAGAGGGCAAATTAAAGGGATCTTTCGATTGAAGTCACCATAAATAGGCTTTCCCAAAACTGAAGTCAATGGCGGGCTGTGACGAACCGTTCGTGGCATCTTTCAGAGGTGAAGAACGGTTCCTAGAGACTTTTGGGGTCACCCTTCCTCTCATCGTTTGGACATGTGAATGTTTAATGATCTGTTTATTGTGAGATAAAGAAAGGGTATAAATACGTATGTATAAATTAAAAGATAGGACAGTAAGGAGAGGAGATCCAATTCATTTTGTTTACTTGTAACCATTTTGGATGAATCTCATTCTCACTGGCAAGATGACACAAAACTTGCAGAGTATATGGGCCTCTAGGGTTAGCCGCTAGGCCGCTAGCCATCATTCAGAACCTGCACAGGGTTGAGATGATTATGAGACTATGAGTCTTATTGTGATTCCACAGCTCATCATGAAGTTTTTTATTAACTACATATGGTGCCTCATGATTATTTCCTGGATGTCAATCCCACAGATGCTTCAAATCTCGATCTTAGAGATCTCATCGAATCTGAGCTGCCATGAAATCCCTATTCATGATTAAATCATGTGTGGTTTTATTGCTAAGTCCAAGGGCCTTAACCAAAAAAAAAAAACGAACATTGGCCGGAAACTTCCCGGTCGGGCCAGAAGATGATCAAGCGACGACCGGCAGTGACTATTTAATGACTGCAGATGGTTTTGTTTCAAAAGAGTTGCAAGCTGCATAGAGATTTAATGCGGATTTCATGGGGAATTTATTTTTATATGCATATATCATAATTTGCCAATACTGTTTCATTTTTCATTCGCTACTGAAAAGGATCTGTTCCTTGCTGCCGTGCATGCTCCGCCTTGCGAGCAAACTTAATTAGGGGTACAAAAGCCTATCCCTGAAAGTCTGGCATCCAATGTGCAGTAGCTCGTATGTCTTTACAAGATGCAAGCGCGTCCTGCAACCATGCTTCAGACTCAGGGGTTGCCATATCTGAAATGGAGAAAGAAACCCTACGAGCCGCAAGTGCGAATTGATCGGCGAGAACCCCCGCCAAAGCGTTCGAAAAAGCAGCTGGGTATTCTTTGAGGACAGCAGTTCTGAATTCTCCTGTCACCTCATCTCGTCCTATGGCAACTTTCCGCGGTTTCTCTGCATTAGGGATTTGTCTCTTGTAAATGGAGGAGAGGAAGGATGGGCAATTGATGGCCAATATTCCTGTCGGTTTGGATGCTGAAGCCCCCCATCTCCATTGGCAGACGCGGTGCAGCTTCACTTGAGGCAGTTGTAACAGCAACTTGACCCATGGCGAGGTCCAGATACTGACTTTCTGCTCATCTTCTGGCATCCATGGATGTTCACTCAAATACAAACTTCCAAAACGTAATGACCATGCCGCCGCAAAAATACCTTGAAAGAAGAATTCAGAACCTTGAGCCACCTGGCGAAGCTCCCGGAAAGTAAGGCCCGGAAGTCCCAGGAATCTCTCCGTGCTACGAAGAGGACGCGGCCACTTCTGAGCATCTGCTTCTGAAATCCCTTCAGGTTTATGGTGTCTGGCAGCTGAAAACGTTTCACAGGGTGCTCCGCAAATAGTCGCTGAAACTCGGCCAGATCTGTAGAGATTGGCTAAGTGCTTCCAAGTGCTGCGCCCATATTGTAAGTTACCAAAGTGAACAGAAACTGCAGTGTCGAGGGATAAAATTTGAACCCTAAATCCCATCTGGCTAGCAAATGTTTCAAGACACGCATGGATATCCGTGCTGCGCCTACGTCCACTGAAAAGGTGAACTACCAAGAAAACCGGTCTCACAGTTATGGCATCAACTGTGGCAGGAATAACCTTCTCCTCCGGTATGTTGTCAAATTTGATCTTCCGAATTTTTTGCAGCCATGAATCCTGTTCATTGAAAATTGCTGGGATATGGAGTGCCGAAGAGATACGTTCCTTCGCATTGGCTGATCCCCGTTTGACTGTCCGGTGTGGGAACAACACATGTTGTTCCGTCTCCAGTCTACGGATTTTCTGCCTCAAGAACGTGATTTCAGTCAACAGCTGCATTCGTGGGAACTCATAGATCATGTCTGTAAAAGCTTGCTCGATCAGCATCTCAGCTTCGCCATCAATGAGTTCGGCAAGGATATCTGGCATGACCTTTTCCCCCCAACTGATATAGACTGATTCAAGCCAAATGCCAAATCGGGGGTCTTGATCTGCACTCTGGTCCAACCATGCATCAGGTAGCTCCTTGATGGTGTCAGCATCGAAGCCACCATCTTGGAATCGTTGAAACCACAATTGTGTTTGTGCCGTGAGTCGTTCCCAAAAAAGGTTTTGGTGTTGCTCAGGATCATCTGGTACCTGCTCAATGTGCAACTGATTCTCACACTGCGCCAGTTTGGCTAGGGTGCTCCTGAGATCTCTCTCACGGCTATCTTTGAACAGGGGTATTGGCCCCATAGCCTGGAGGGCTTCAGTGCGATGCAGACCTGCCAACTTGTCGCTCACTACAGTGGAGCACTCATCTGTCACTTGAAAACCACTTCTTTGCAGTGACTGGAAGCAATGATTGACCTGTCCTTTTCTAGGGATGTACGCCAGATGTTGATATAACCTCTGTCTCGTCCACAGGAATTTCAGACAGCAGGGACAAGTTGCCCCGTCAATGAGGTGTTTTTCTCTGGCACCAATGTTATGAGCAAGTCTCTTGTGCGAAGCAAGTCCCTGAGGGGTGGTGAATGTTCGATTGCAGAAACAAACATATTCATGCTTCGTAACATCATCAACAAAGGTATCATTGAGAAATGTGGCTTGGTCCTTGAAAATTTGAAAGAACTGGGTATGCATCCTATGCATCTGATGCATCATCCCTTCCTGACGGAGGTGGCGTTGCAGCGCGGCCTTGATTCTCTTCTGCCATTCTCTATGTCCCCCCTGCCAATAATCAAAGAGATCAGTGAGATCTTCAGTGTTAACTGGGGGCTTGTATGGCAAGTGAGGCTCAAGCTTTTGCAACCATTCCAAATCTGCAAGGAGTCCATGCATCCATGAGTTGGGGCAGAGGGCATGTTCACGGTGGAGCATGTGCTGCAGTTCCGCAGGGCCATGTTCCCACAAACGTTGTGCATACAACAGCCTATCAACTGCATGTCTGACCCGAGGTTCTGATTGACGTGCTCTCTGGAGGATTTCGGCAGCGGGGATGGATGCTACTTGATCTGGCTTCAGCCTGAGAACCTTGCGTAGCAATCTGAGCAGGAAGGCACGTAGCTTGGCGCATTGTCTATAGGTTGGCGTTTGCCAGGCGCCAAGACCAAAGAACAATTTAGTGCCGATGAGGGAATGAAACAACTGGATTCGAGTACTTTCGGGAAGATGCCTGTTACAAAGAATAGGTTTCGCAATCTGTCCAAATGCGGCTTGAGCAAGGCCAATTCTTTGCTGTATTTCAACTTCCAGGTTGTGATTGGCGGCAAACGTCGTACCCAAGTGCTTGTAGCTTGGAACATAGTGAAGGAAAATCTGCTTTTCTCTCCCCTCAAGCGTGAAGCTATCCCCAGGTTTGGCATTGAGCTGGTACATCTGCCTCATCTGTGGGGCACCACTCCCACGGAAAGTGACAACTGCACTAGTCTTGCCCTTCTCCAAATTAAGTAGGAACCCGTACTTCTCGAACAGTTGCAGCACAAATTGCAAGATCCTACGCAGTTCCTTGGGCATATCCGCCGCTCTGGTGGTTGCCCAGGGGATGGCAAGATCGTACGCCCATGCCACAAAGCCACCTGGAATGTCGTATTCAGCGAGAATACGTTGAAAATCTTCTTGTCTCTGAATCCAGTCATCAAGCTGGTGTAAAATGTCTGCCATCAAAATGTGAAAAACACAATCCGCAAGCGGGCTTCCTGGTCTTGTGCCTCTTTTGGTATTGGCAAATCGTCTGCTACCGATGGTCATCCATGTGCTGGCATGTATGTCCTTCATGAGCTGGATAAGGAAGGGAGGTGCGCGCAGTGTTTCAAGCAGCGATGGCACGTGTATGCGTTCACACATTTCAGCCACATCCAACCCTTCCTGTTCCAATGCTTGGAAGACAATAAGCAAGTCAGCTGGCACGTGCACGCCAGAAACCCATTCTCGGACAAGCCGATGAAAAGCAGTGGCCAAATCCAAAAATAACACTGCCGACGTGAGCTTCAGTGTATCCATAATGCGTCCGAAAACTTGTAGGGACTGCGATCCATACATGACTTGTTGCTGGCTAAATCCTCCCAGCTGACCTGGTGGTCGTTGGCGTTCAAGCAATTGCATGAGTTGTGTCCGTAGCAGTGCATGTACCCTCTTGGTGAAGGTAGGCAACAACATGATACCGCGGTAATTGCTAGCAACAAGGTGGTTGCCTTTCTTGTGGATGACTGCAAGGGGTCCACCTTTACCTGCAAATGGTTCTTGTTGCCAGACCATCATTTTGAGCAACAATGGAAAAAACGCCTCAGCCAGATCGCACGCATGATTACGAAAAAGCACTGAAGGCAACGAATCGTGGCCTGTGGCCTTGTGCGGCTTTGTCTGTCTGAGCACATCTTCAAGTTGCATCAATGAGGGAAGCTCTGCAATATCGAAATGTGTCTGTGCTGGTGCTGTTTGTCTTTGTCTTTCATGACATTCGTGCAAAAGTTCGGCCGGGTGCATCTGTTCACCTACTTCAAGCTGTGTGAAGTGGGGCATCCATTGATCCTCAAGAGGTTCGATGCTCAACGGATCAAAACCTCGTCTTCTTTGGCGAAATCTGGGCAAACTTCGTCGCAAGACTTTCCAAAATTGCCTGGTTTCGGAAGGGCCTAACCACCTAGAGCTCTCTTGTGCAAGGTTCTGATAAAACACAATGTCATCTCTTCTGGTGGCTTGCGTAACTTGAATCCCCAGGGTGCGGAAATTGTGAAGGGCAATCGCAACATCACGGTCGAGTTGGCTCAAAATTGCATCAAAGGAATGGGCTTCCTGCTTGAAACATATCCCACGGATGCCGTGTCGCCAGGCAGCGAAAAGCAAATGCATGGTAGTGCGCGTTTGGAGTCGTTGACATCTTGCCAAATTGGACCTCCACTTCTTCTTAGCACATACAAGTTCCCATGTGGTAGATGTCATGTGCGGTTTCTGCGGCTTACGAAAATGCAGAGGTTCAGTCGACCTCGTGCATGAAGCGAGTGAGTCTTGGAGGATACCAAAATGCGTGTGGACATCAATTGCACTCTGATTGATCGGATCTGCAAGCAAAGACTTAATTGCATTAGGGCAGAGCTGGGCAGGACATGCTTTAATCCTTTGTGCTTGAAGGTTCTGTGATTTGGTTGCCGCTGGCCATCTCAAGAGTGCTCGAGCAGGCCGATGATCATCTTTGGTGAGCGAAAAATCCATTTCAATATCAGTCCAAGAGAGACACTGTGTAAGCGGCCATTCAAACGGAACCCCAATGAAATCATTCCGTGTCCAGGTGCCATTTGGGTGTTTCCATGTACCTGATGGCCCCTCATGAATATCCGCAAATGTGGCTGGCAAAAACAAATGCTGCTGCGCAACAAAGTGACTAAAGGCATCACTCTTGGGGCATGATCTCTCAGCGTCATGTGGTCCAATGTGGTTGTTAGGTGAGTCACCTACTCGGCTGTTCGCATCTGCTAAAAGCAGTTTTGGCCAGCTGCTGTATTTCGAGCCAATGTGTCTATCAATTCGCTGCCAATAATCCTCAATATCTTCGATGGCTGCTCCGGTATGTGGTGCGTGTGCAGCAACGATGATGACTTTGAGGAATTCATTGCAGACTCGTAAAATCAGAAGGCGTGGCTCGGCTGCAATGACAGCAATTTGTGACTCCTCAAACCAACCTTGGTCATGTGGCTTACCATTATCATGAAATGCAAATGCCTGGGTCTTGGCAATTCCCACCATGATACCGAAATGGCCTCGGTCATTAGCAGGTGCGTGAAACAGGATAAAATCTTCATGCCTCAATTTCAAGTCAGTTCTCAATCGGGTTTCTTGGAAAGCAAATACCGAAATTTCTGCTTGTTTCAATTGTCGCAACATGATTTGCAATCTGGTAGGTCCTCCAGCCCCCCATGCTTCCATCTGATGTGGCCCTGGGAGTAGGGTAAGGACATTGCAGGTAAGCAGGTGAAGCTTGACATTTCCATGACCGTCTGTCGATGTCGCCTCACCAAACGGTAAGACTTTAGTGCTGTCTGGATTGGTGGTCGAGTTGGTTGGTAACTCCAGCTGGTTTGATTGCCAAGCGGATCCCAAATGTGAAGTAAATAATGCCCATACCCATTCCAGAGATTGAACAAAATTCTTCTGTGTGATCTGCTCAAGGAAGGCATTCCAATTTTGCAACGGTTTGCCCTGGGCAGCACATCTTGCAAGGGTGTCAACAAGCTCATTCCCCGGGTCGCCGCTGTGTCCGGTAACATGGAAATGCTGGCAGCTAACCTTCCAACGTTTTTCAATGACCCTGACAAGGCTTCTAATAGCATGACATGTGGTTGGATCCTGTCTTGCCTGCCACTGGCCTTCTGATTGCTTACCCACTGAGAGTGAATCATACATAAACTCAACCGCAGGTGAGGTTGAAAAAACCTCTGCATTGATTTTCACAAGGTCAAAAACCTGCTTGCACGCAATGAGAGATGCAGTGAGTTCAGCTGTGTAGGATTCAAACTTCGGCTTATGCTGCTGTACTGATAGCGCCCCAGCAAACTTCCAAGTTCCATCCTGTAGAACAAATGCTGCAGTGGCTGACCCAGAATTGTCAGTCTTAGATTCAAATGAGCCATCATAATAGACACGGATACACTCAACTGGTCCTTCCCAATCATACCAATCCTGTCTGATCCAGTCAAGGCATTGAGGTAACCAACAAGCAACCGGGTCAAGTTGCGCTTCGATATCATAAGTTGGGAGAGTGAAATGAGCATCAAGCCATTGCAGTGCCATTTGCGCTGATTCGAAATCCACTCTGATCTTATGCGTATGGATATCCTCAGAGCATCGTGTTGGGTTGGTTGTTGGTGCCCGCACAAATGTCTGAAGCATTGCCTGGTGGTCCCCTTCTGGTTGGCCTATTGGCTGTTGTCTGTACCTGCTGACATGGAGCACGAAACTGTAGCCCGTCCAGCAAGGCATTCTTTGACCTGGCAACAAATGCAGCTGCTGGTACCAGATATCACAATGCACCGGTTCCTGCCGGTGTATGCAAAGATCGTCATAGTGGACTCCATGGACAATTTGCTCAAAGGTCACATGTTCAAGGGTGGTGATGGCAATGCGCAAAGGATTTGGGCCCAAGCGGTAATCAGACACTGAGACAAGCGATGTAGACCACTCAACGTTTGGGGCTTGCACAATGATGACATGGGATGTCACTCCATGCTCCATCCTTGGCGGTGCAGGTGACACAACGGAAAGTTCGCTTTCAACATCAGGTTGTATCAAATCATACCAAGCTTGTCGGATTTGATGTTCCCAATCCGTAAAATCACTAAACAATCGCACAAGGCGTGGGATGTAGCATTTTGGTTGAGCTGACCTGTGATCTACAAACCAAACCAGAACATTTGTTGACGGTGATTCATCTTCCCATGAAAACGCATTCGTGATCCAAGATGAGTGCAGAGTTTGCACAAATTCAGACTGCGTCAAAATGGTAGGAACATTGGGTTGATATTCAGGTGCCATCGGGTCAAACTGAAACTCTCCACACCTCTGAGTTTGCCCTTCATTTGCTATTCGACCTGCATGTCTCCATCTACTTGGCCTATTCGGTTGTGAAGGTGCAGGCCGTTGCATCAATGTGAGGTCTTCAAAATGAAGGTGTTCCGTAGGGTCCACATCTCCTTGGGCAGCTTCCGGTGCTGCAACCCTAATCTGGACACTGTCTCCTGACCGCACAGCCAGTGGGACTTCATTGGTGATCACTCTACCCATGTGTGTGAGCGTACAGCTTCGCTGTGCACAAAAGAAACTGATTTCCATAGTTTCAATAATGTGTGGTAGAGCCAGTGGCTGTCCCACAGAGTATGCTCCCTGAGTGATGGCATCGTGCGTAGGTCCTTCAAAAAGGGCCGTAAGGACAAGGCTGGTGACCTTGCTCCAGAATGATATGACAAGCATGTCTCTGTGAGCGGAACTGTGGGGGTCGCGGCTTGACCACATGTATTGAGAAGGGCAGTCTAGGATCCAAGAGGTCCATCCAAGCATTCCGAAGTTCTTCAATCCACATGATCGGATGATCACTGAGTTGGATATCCCTCGGTCGCAAGCAAGCTGTCCGTCTCAAATGGTGAACAAACCATGTTTTGACTGGCAACAAATTTACATTGTCCCATGCGTTGTGGACTCCATACAAGGGGAACAATTCTCCAATTGGTGTAATCCAATCTTCTGCTCCATCATGCAAGGGTCGGATGCGACGCCTCGGATTTGATTCCGGGTGGATCACTGGAATACCTCGGGATTCCATGGGACCATGTGGGCTAGGTTTGCAAACTTTGGGTTGGATCTCCAGGCTTGTTTGGGTGAAAACTACATCATCCTCAATGAATGGAGTGGAGGATGTGTGTGCATCCATTGCGGCAGCCATTCCTGGGGTCCAAAGCTGCTCAGGCACAATCCATCCATCATTTCGCAAAGGTGCCACAGACACAACAATGTTGAATGCAGGACCTAGCTCTTCAAGGTTACCTGGGACAAAATCTGTGTTGCCGTATTTGACAAGACAACGTCGTAAGACACACAAATCAACCAGGTGAATCTTCTGCAAAACATGCCGTGATGTGGCCGTACTTCCAATGGAGACAGCGACATGATTGACAAATGCATGATCTTGATCCTGCCGGATGGTTGAAAGGACACCAGCTGCATGTGTTGCCTGTGCTGAATTTTGTTCAAGCAAAATATGGACAAGCGTGGTTTCAGTTTCAGTAGCTGGAGGTTGTGGCGTAACAATAGCAATGTGAACTGGGATGGAGGGATTCACATGATCCGCTCACGTTTCAATCAGTTGTCTCCGCCAATTTCCAAGTTCCTGACCAACCAGTCTTACGCTCCGGTATGTCTCACATCTAGGGGCTGTGAGGTGGTCAATGAACCAAGTGGTCACATATGCGATTGGTCCTTCATCCGAGCATTCAACAAGCGCTTGCAGGCTAAAGCGATCTTTCAACCGGTAGAACAACTCATTTTCATCGTCCTCATGGTCATCTGCATCAATATGGTACCTATGTACATGTAGATGCAAGGGGTTATGATCGCGATCAAATCCAACTCGGCATTCAGCATTGGTTTGGACAAGAGAAAGTGCTTGCTGGCGTCTTGGTGCAGTCGTACAGTCTCTAACGATGTCAGCTTCTGCATCATCAATTGTGATCGCAAAATTCAACGCAGCCTCCGTTGAAACAGCATGATCTAGTGGTGGAGTAGCGACAACCCTCAAATAATCACCATGCTGGATACGTCTGACACTCTGATCCTGCTCCGGCCACAATTCATTGTTCAGGAAGACAAGGCATCTGTCCCCTTGAAGGAAACAGTAGTTGGTGAGTCTTGCAATCCTTAACACAAAAGGTCTCGCAATCTGTGGAACAATTCTGTGCACTCTTCTCGTCACTTCTGGTGCCCTCATCCAGCTAACAGGCTGTACCTGAAAATGGACTTCCACATCGAGAATGACTAATTGTTCAGTGGAACCAAGTGCAAGATCGTCCGTGTATTGCAATATGACTGAATCTTCAGCTTCATGTTGTCCTGCAAGAATGGCTTGGATATTGTGAATGCCAATCAGATTCCTAAGAGGTGCTCTGAGGAAACGTGAAATGTCATACAGGATCGAATTGTATGTGCCCCATCGGACAAAACAATGAACAACATGCCGGTTCAACCTGTAAATTTGGACTCCTTGCCACTGCTCAAATTGCGTGGGAGATCCAGGAATGGGCGTACCAGTTGTGTGTTCAGAGTCGTCATCTTCAGCGTTTGCTGGTGCCTGCGACAACTGACCATTGCTTCGTTCTTCAGCTTGATCGTGTCCCCTCCCTACAGTTGCAGCAGCTCTAGTATGGGATGGACTTGACTCTCCGGAACTCCTGGCAGTTTGTCTTACCCTTGGGGTAATATGCACAGAGAACCCATGGCCATCATGCATGTAGTGGGCTGGAATCAAGCTGAATGGGATCGGTTGCCATCTGAAATAAAAATTGCAGTTTTGGGTATTGCAAAGATGTGAAATGTCTGCTGCTGCAGCCAGGCCAATACCGCTAACCTCATCAGGAAGTGAGATCGCTAGAGCAAATGGCCTAATATGCCCTTGTGCATTCTGTTGATGCACCGTCAACAGACCTGCTGATCTGTCTGCATCAATACCTTGCACAACAATGACATCTGCAACAGCTTGTCTGGGTATGTAGCTACGATCTGGGTCTGGCATGATCGTGAAATATCGTACATCCTCATTTGGTTGAAGCATGTCCCTCCATGCAGACGCAATTTCGCGTTGCCACAGCACCCATCGATGGTCGAGCTCAACAAACCGTGGCACTACCCAGCGTGGGTGATGAAAATGGTGAACATACCAGGTTCTGATTAGGAAACTGTTTTCCATCAGGAAGTCATGTGGTAACGCTAAAAAACCTGGCAGACCAAAAATGTCAATGGCAAAATCAGGCGGCTGGACCTGTTGTGGTCGATTGCGCTGTGCGTTGGGGGTTCAGTGCTTTCGGCAGCAACCCTTCTTGGGATGTCATCATGCTCATCCGTCAACCGTGCTTGGGAGAAAGATGGTTTCACAATTTTCTTTGTAGTGGGTCTGGCAATGTCACCAGCACTTTTGACAGCCTTCTTGGTCCATGGTTTTTCAGTCCAATCAGCAAGTGCAAAAGTATTCATAGGCACACATTGCATCTGAAGTTCATCTTCTAATCCAATGTGAATAGAAATCTTCTTGTGAAATCTGACACTCTTGGATGATCGAGTTGTTCGTTCTGAGTGTTTCCGGAAGCAACTATTGGGCAGTACGCAACCTTCAGAGCGATTCTTGCAATGATCTCTATTTTGTTTCCCTTGAACTATTGAGTCACCATCATCAAACCAGCCTATACCGGTATGAGCTTCGACTTGGTCACACAAAACATTCCATCCTAGTTTCCAAGCCGACATGACTGCAGCAAAGGGACTGAGATAATTGTATTCAGATTGAATGGAGTGTTGCCAATGGAGGAATTGATGGGTATCAAAACTGGTAAGCTGCGATTGGCTTGCTGCACACATCGTTGGCATCGATGTATAGGCCTCAACCAATTCAGCTTGGAAATCGGCGCCATGCAAGCTATGGCTACGCACTAGCTCTGCACCGCCCTCACTCAGGATTTGCTGAGGTCCGCAGCTTCCCCAATACCACCAGGACCACCAAATGGTTGCATAGATCGAGATCGAGGGCGCTTTTTGTCGCGCTCTTCGTCTTCCATCGTGAGGTCTTCCACTTCCTGGTCTTGATCGGGAATCTCCATCTTCAACGCCGCAGCACAGTTCTGAAGGACTGTTTGTAACTGTCCTTGGAGTTTCAACTCCTCGCTGTCCGCTTCTGGATTCCCTTCCTCTTGTTCTGCTGTTACCGCAGTCAGAGGTGGCATGGCAGCTAATGTTGCCTGCGACGCCTTGGATGACAGGGTCTGTATGGCTGATCTGGCTGACTCGATGTCTGATCTGGCCTTGGCTGCCACATCTTGGAATTTTGCCTGCTGTTTTTGGAACTCTTGCAGTTGTGATTGCCATGTGGTCACTGCTTCTGTAATATGCTTGATCCATCGATTGCGATGGGCCTTCTTGGCTTCCAGCGTCTCTGTAAGTGTTTTCTGCGCTTTGCCTAGCGCTGTTGTGGCTGAATGAATGTTCTTCGTAACAAACTTGTTGCTGTCTGATTCCAGCTTTTCTATGTCTCGATCCATCTTCTCGATGAGATCTTTGGTTTCGGCTGGTGCAGCGTTGACATCTGGATATGCAATTCTGAGTGCAGCTACACATTTTTTTTTCTGTGCCAATTGTTCGGCCGTACTGGGATTGGAAGCCATGGCAACCGAGGGCATCAGGGCCTGTGGCGCCCCCTCCGTAGTTGGCCATGGTGGCATGCTGGTTGCCAGTGGGGCAAATGGTGAATTGCTGTAACTTGTACCTCCAATCCCATCGTCCCCTCCTGTATTGTAGGCTGCATCTTTGCGCTTGCCTTTGTTTGCATGTTTCCCAGCACCTTTCCCTTTGCGTCCTCGTGGACTTTGTGATCCTCTCATTGAACGAGAGCTGTGTGAGCGGCTCTGCACACGTCTTTGCGTTGCTTGCCAATTCCACGATCGGTCTTCTGCATCCCAGTCTTCCCAGGCGTAGTGCTGCTCTTGCGGCGGCCATGCATCTCGATACATCGATGCCTGATGCGCCTTGGGTTCTGTACTGTGACGTAATCCTGTCGACCAATGTGCACTGCAGATAGCACACTTCTCTGCTATCTTTTTGTTGATGCGCTGACACTTTGTGCAGCGCCACGGATAGAGCTCTTGCTCCATGATTCTGCCCTGCTTCTTGATTTCTGTCCGTATCCTTCTCAAAAAAGTGGGATCCTTTGAGTGATGACTTGCAAGCTTCCTGTAGAGGCGCTGAAGTGCCCCTTTCCCAAGAACCAAAACCCTCTTGCAATGCAAATGCCACGTATGCCTGGCAAGTGCTCTTTGCCGGCGGAACCTCCGCCTCTGGGTAGAACTCAGGGATGGAATTTTGCACAAAGTCGAAGCCCACAATCAAGATGAGGAATAAAAGCAAAAATGAACACATAAATTGTGAAATGTAAGCAATCAACGACACCAGGGATTTACCAGTTCAGTGTCGAAAAATCCAGAAAAGGCTCAGGTGTATGCCCACCTGCAGAAGCGTCCAAATTAAACCACGCGATCAAGCCAATCCAGGAAAATCAACCAGTTGTATGATCAGGTGGTAGAGAAATGGAGAAGGCGAATTGTTCAAAAATGTAAATTATCAAATACACCAGCGCTTGGCAGTTCAGTGTAAATTGTAGAGCTCAAATATTGAAGCGACGGCAGCAATGTCAATCAAGAGAGGGGAGGACCAAGTCAGACTCCCCCAGTTAAAGCAATGCCAGGCCGAAGCAATAAGATAGGGTTTTGCCACACTGGGATAACCCTAAACCCAAGGTCCAATGTAGACCCGCGGGCCACCTCTAGGTGTAGCCCACTTAGGTTATGGCCAAGCAACCCCAAGAGGATGGAACGGCGAGGGGGCGTTTTGAACCAAAACCTTTTACCAATACTGTATCATAAATAAAAATATACATGTGGCCATGTGGCACCCGAAAAGATAGAAACGCGTAGATGAGTAGAAACCTACCAAAATTCTTTATTACTATACCTGTATCTTCCAAAGGGCCTGAATTTCAGCCTGACCTCAAATATCAGCCTGCAGCGGAAACTGAAAACTCAGGCGGAAAGTGTTTTTATCCATATTTTGAGGTATTCTGATAAGATCCTGGTGGACGATCCAGGTGAAAAGAAATGCTCTGTGGGTGATGTTCGCTGTTTTTTTTATGCTGGTGTTTAATTTTTATATTTTTTTCGGGCGGAAACACCCACGAAACGGGCGAAAACAGCCACGAACGAGGCGAAAACACCCGAAATGAGATTTTCATGTAAAACAGTAAACTTCTTTAACGCTGTTATCAACAATATATCAACAATATATAGTGTGAGCGCGCATCTTAACCAAAATCATCAAAATCACTAAAAACACAATCGGGCAGAAAAAACCACCCCAGGCGAAAAAAATCCATTCGGGCTAAAAATTCAGCCTGAACAGCTTCGGGCTGAAAAAGCGGCCTGCGGAAGGCCTAGGTATAAATAGTGTTTTTCGTTCTTGTTCAGTCCATAAATCCCATAAAATCCCATTCATGCAGGCGATGCTTTTTCTCATTTACCCAGATCCTACGGGCCGCGGTCCAACTATTAAACTTCACGACAGCAGAATGCACAACTAATAAAAAGGATGCTGAGTCACACAGATTCTTGGTGTTGCAAGCTCTATACCTCCATGTTTGATGGCTCAATCACCATTTATAACCAAAGAAATTGCAAGAGACGCACTTGAAAACCAGGCGCATTTAGCCCCTATGCCACGACGTACGAGCAGGAACTTTTTAGTGCTTTGGACTCTTATTCTCTCATTTTCTTAGTTGGCTCCCCAATTCTTTACAGATCTTTACAGTAAAAGCACCATTTCCCAATTCAAAAAGCGCACACACACATGAATCCCCAAGATGTTCCATCGTTTTTTTCCTAATATTTCATGGTAAATGCCGCAAATGCCCAGCCTTATCATAGGGTTTTCCCCATGGTTTTCTGCCCTTGCTCGGAAACTCATGGTGAGGCCTTGGCCATTTCGGGGGCTCTGAAGTTCACCGTGGAGGTTCCCGAGTTGCGGGAACAGCGCGACAGGTTGCCGCGGCAGTTGAGGAGTAAAGAGTTGGGGGAACCCAGCCAGGGTCCTGGTTGGTGATTGGTGGTTGTGCGATAATCACATTAGTAAACCCATGGTAAATCACCATTTTTAATATTTTTCATCGGTAAATCCACAATTTTTATGGCCATTTTCAATAGCTATGTTGCTGGTGACTGGAACCATGAATGGATTATGACTTTCCATTCAGTTGGGAATTTCATCATCACTGACGAATGTCCATGATTTTTCAGAGGGGTAGGTATACCACCAACCAGGGGTGGATGGGATGATTTGTTGGCGGAACATGGTGAGAAACAACGAGAGAAAATGACAGAACATGACTGGTGATGTCCAATGGGATATATTGTTTTAATTGGTGGGTGATAAACCATAGATTGAATATATAGATTTGACTAATGAAAATCTGATTGAACCATCATTATCAATGATTATCTTTATAATAGCTATTGTACATGGTTCAATTAGTCATAAAGTTTACAAGCGGATTAAAAATGCAAATGACTACTTGAACCATTATTAACCATTATATACTTTTATTAACCATTATTAAGAATTATTAACCATTATTATCTTAGATTGTTGATTATGGCAGATGACTAGTGGTTAATAGTGGTTCAAGACAAGTATTATGCTCAAGCTTTAACTATGGCTAATTAGAACTGACTGGGTATCCAGTGGTCAGGAGGGAGCTGCTGTAGCTAGGAGTATCCATATTCCCTGTATAAATAACAGCATGTAGCTGGGTAGCTGGGTAGCCAGTTGGAGCAAAGAATGTCGCAACAGCTGGAGAGTTGGCTGTAGCAGATATCAAGGTGGTGCCCCCCAAACGTTATGTTTATTGGTTTATAAATCCCATGAAAACTAGTTCGATATATCACCAACAAAAACCAACAAGTGAAATTGGAGTTATGTTCACCAACTGAACGCTATCGAACGAGGGCACCACCTTGTAGGGATTGGAAGACCTTTGTTCCATCCAAGGGCCCAGGGATGCCCCAACGGAATGCGAATGGGTGGAGGGCTTGAAAAAACCATCGTTTTGTCAGTGATTTCGCCAACTAAAAGCACTACAAGTTGTGGGATGATGGCAACTGGGGTGTGATTTTCCTGGGAGTTATGGAGTTGGGGGACTATCTGTAATGAAAACCACGTCACGTCACGTCGCATCACGAAATAGATGGTGGTCCCGAAACATCCACCCTTGAGAGAACTTGGTTTCTCCATTTAATATAAATGGGCTAACGCCCAGGTGCCGCCGCCCCCCTTTTTGAGGCTTCGGAATCGCAGATGACTGAGAAAATGTAAGGGTCATAACTTAAAACAGTATTTGGATATCTAACTATAGACTATAGTGTTATGAGAATATTGCAGCTACAGGGCTTGTATGACAAAATATTTTTTAACCATTTGCTGCACCATTCTTGCAACCATTCTATTTACTATGCTGGAAGCACCCCTGTTCTTGTAACCGTTCTGTTTCCTATTCTGGAAGCATCTCTGTTCTCTTAAACATTCTGTTTCCTGTTCTGGAAACACCTCTGTTCTTTTAACCATTCTACTTCCTATTCTGGAAGCACCTCTCTTCTAATCGTTTGATGAATTTTTCTCAAGCCACCAGTCTTCCTGTAGCCATGCCACCTGCTATCCTGGAATCATATTTTTGATGGTCATCCTATCTGCGACCCTGAGGCCCTGAGGTAAACAAGTTTTCAAACTATCCCAGTCCCATGTCTTAGAAACACTCTGCTGTAGTCAGTCATTCCTTCTGTCAACGCTCAATAGAATGGGCGGCCAGAAAAAGACACCGCAAAAATGCAATATTCGACCTGGCAAAGCGCTGGCAAAGGGCTAAAGCTGCACGGAGGGTTTTGGGGCCCTGGGGGGAACGTGCTTCGCGCAGGTTTTGAAACCCTCTAAATGCAGTATTTCGACTTGGCAAGGCAAGGGCAAAGGGCGATGGCAAAGCGCTGGCAAGGGGCTAAAGCTGCACGGAAGGGTTTGGGGCCCTGGTGGAACGTGCTTCGCGCAGGCTTTGAAACCCTCTCTAAATGCAGAATTTCGACCTGGCAAGGCAATGGCAAAGGGTGAAAGGTGCACAGGAGGGTTTCCTGTCCTAGTGAAACGTGCCTCCTTTAGGGGTGGAAACCGTCTAAATGCAATATTCGACCTGGCAAAGCGCTGGCAAAGGGCTAAAGCTGCACAGAGGGTTTTAGGGCCCTGGGGGGAACGTGCTTCGCGCAGGTTTTGAAACCCTCTAAATGCAGAATTTCGACCTGGCAAAGGGCGATGGCAAAGCGCTGCGGAAGCGTTTGGGGCCCTGGTGGAACGTGCTTCGCGCAGGTTTTGAAATCCTCTAAATGCACAATTTCGACTTGGCAAGGCAGGGGCAAAGGGCGAAAGGTGCACAGGAGGGTTTCGTGTCCTAGTGAACGTGCCTGGCGCAGGTGTGGAAACCCATCTAAATGCAATATTCGACCTGGCAAAGCGCTGGCAAAGGGCTAAAGCTACACGGCGGGTTTTGGGGCCCTGGTGGAACGTGCTTCGCGCAGGTTTTGAAACCCTCAGAGTTTCGGGCCCTGGTGGAACGTGCTTCGCGCAGGTTTTGAAACCCTCTTAAATGCAGAATCCCGACCTGGCAAGGCAGGGGCAAAGGGCGAAAGGTGCACAGGAGGGTTTCGTGTCCTAGTGAAACGTGCCTGGCGCAGGCGTGGAAACCCGTCTAAATGCAATATTCGACCTGGCAAAGCGCTGGCAAAGGGCTAAAGCTGCACGGAGGGTTTTAGGGCCCTGGTGGAACGTGCTTCGCGCAGGTTTTGAAACCCTCTAAATGCAGTATTGCGACTTGGCAAGGCAAGGGCAAAGGGCGAAAAACAAAAATATTCGACCTGGTAAAGCGCTG